ATCCAAACCCCCCAGTGAGAGAGAGACCATCTTTGAGTAGAATGATCAAAAATAGTGCTGCTTCTTTGCAACACGCACCGGTACTTAATCCTTCTGTAAGTAAATATATGTCACTTCTATACTTTAAACTCTTCAGTGATTCCTTGATGCCCTTGATATAAAATTAAAACTCCTTCCTGTGACCTTACTATCACCCACCTACTTTTTTAGGCTCATCCTGAGCAACTTTACCCCATGCTCTCTGTGCTTGAGCCTGAGAAGCCTTCTTTTAGTTCTTTAAGTCAGTCACATTCTCAGGGCCTTTTCACATGCTATTCACTTGATGTGGAACTCTTCTCCAACTCCTTAATGGCTAATTCTCTCATCCTTCAGGTCTCAGTTTAAATGTTACCTCAGTAAGGCCTAACTTGACCCCTCTGGGAAAAAGCTAAATATATTAACATATATATCCTTTTATTTTTACTAGTAAAATATCAACTGCCTTAATATCCATGATAAGCTCATGGTTAAATAAATATTATATTTTTACTCAGTGAACTATCATATCAATGAAGACTATATAGCAGTGTATAAAAATGCAACATTAAAGAAATAGATCTATGTGTGTGTGTACGTGTACGTGTGTACCCACACACACATGCATACATACTTAATTGCAGCTATGAAAAATTATACCTTGTGGAAAAAAGACAAAAGAAATTCTCCAAAGGAAAAGAGCAGTTGTGTGACTCTTCCATATGTTTCCAGTTTTCCAAAATGTGGTTATATATATATCGTTTTTAATTAATACTTTAAAACTGAACTTTATTGTTTATGTGGTCATATTTTAATTATGTTTTTAAAAAGTTACTTTAAGCTAATGCAAATCCAGTCATTTTCTACTTTTGCTGAAGTTGGCTTATAAAAATGCTGAGGAATAATATCTTCCTGTCTTTTACTATTTATAGATGGTTACAAATGAAGGACTTGGCCTGACAGCTGTAGCTTCTGGAGCAAGCATCTCTTCTAGTGGTGTAAAAGATTGTCTTCCGAAATCAGCACA